GCAGGTTTAATGTAGACTGTTGTGTGTTACGGGAATAATAGAAAAATGTAAAATAAACAATGTTGTAAATAAATGTACAAATGTCTTAATGTGAAAACAGAACACGTTCAAAAGTTGTTGACGCATAACATGGGTTATAAGATAGGATAACAATATTAAGTAAGATTCTTTATTCCAAAACCTCATCTCCCTCAACAACTTCTTTTAAATTAATTACTTCCAACAATCCACTACCTTTAGTTTCAGAGTTGACTAATTCATTTATCTCCCGATAATTTCCAGGGTCAATTAAGCAAATTATATTTAACGTTCCACTGTCCCATTTTTCTGTTTCTAACTGTGGGACTAGTTTTATTATTTTATCTCTTAACTTCCTTGCATCCTTTCCTGACACTACAACTCTTATTCTCATTTGAGCTTGCTCGAGTGGCATTACAGCCTTTAATTGTGGAATTACATCTAAAGCTTGCTGTTTTGCGTTTCTATTTGGTTTTACAGAAAAATGTGTATCTTTCATAGCTTTTTCTATCATTGTTACTGGATATGGACGTTTAGTTTCTGGATTTACACATTTGTTAGCAACTGTTGTCGCGATATCTTTGAACATCGAATCTAAAGCTGAATGTCTCTCTTTATCAGAAACTTGGAGTTCTCCCTTTGTTAGAATTTCTTTACATATTTCTGTATGGTTCTCTGTACCAAATGCCTTTATAAGGTCTTCTTTCTTTGCCACTTGGCCTTTTGAGACATTTATAAATACTGTATGCGTCTGTAAGACCTCATCAATATCTTTCTCTCTGAAACATTAATAATAAAATACAAAATGTATTTTATGAAGCAATGTACTACGAAGAACGTCTATAATATGAAGAGGTTAAATGTCAAAAATGTACTAACAAAGTAATTTATTTTCTTACGTCAGGTACAAAGAACTTACAGTTTATTTCTCCATGAAATAACTTTGTTTTTATAACAAGCGATCTCAAATCGTTTTCCCGTCTTCTTCATACGAACGACGGCGACGTTGGTTAGCCTTATTTGATTCGTGGGCGTGAAAATCATCGACATTTTGAACAAATTACACTTATTAAAACTCGCTGTTCACGTAATTCACGTATTAGAATTGTAGATTCCACTGGAACGTTCTTTATTTGACATTCATTACATTTTTAATCAATTGTGACAGAATGTGCGTTGCAGTACGAAAATGGAAATGACCAGAAATGACGATACTTCGTTTCAGAATATCTTAAAACCGGTACAATTGATTTCAGTCGATTTCTAATTGAATCGTTCAGAACTACGATAATAAATGAGCAGATGATAATTAGAAGATAGTTCTACAATTGAAAATTCAATGTACTTCTGTAATGGAATAAAATGTAAGGATTATTTTATTTTATTCAGTATAGGGACAAACTTGCCCAGTTTTTTACCTACTGTTACCTACTATGCGTATGCGTACACCCACGATGTGCGCATGCTCACCTGACCATGCAAACAATGGACATCTGCGAAGTTGTACAACAGTTTCAAAATAACCCGCCGAATGCTATAGATGGCGCTAAAATTTGATCAACAATTTATATATTTCTCCCTTTGCATCTTTCCTCCCGTCAAGGCATGTCTAAAACCTTCCTTATCGGAAGAGTGCGCCACTGATTGATCATACAAAATGGCTGACATCGTAGGTACCCCTTCCGTCCCCCGTCACAAAACCCGGCAGCAGTGCACCTAAGTGCATCGTCCTTCAAATCCATGAGTGCACTGTCCTTTAAATCCATGGCTATCGCGTCCTCCATTCATCGTTTAAGGCTGAAGGAGGTGCATACATGTATGAGATTTTGATATTTTTAAATTGTATTTTACAACACTTAATTTTTATTAAAATTTAGATAGTTTAATTGTAATTGATTACAAACTAGATCGAGTCTGTCGTTTGTGTCTCTTTATGCCATGATGTTCATATAAGAATAACATGAGCAAAATTGAAGAAGAAATAAGGGACTGCATGTGGGGAGTACATATCATGCTGTCGGCGGACGTCAAAAAATGGAAAATATCGTGATCGTGACGTCATCGTTCGTATGTACGATAAGCAAAATCGCGATGTGCGCGCGCCTTGACCGCACGCATGCGCAGGGTGCTCGTCACATTAGACTGTATCGAACATGGCCGCCGCGAGCGTGATGCCGTTAGAAGTGCGTGAAAAATGATCATTTTTGCGTGGTTGAAACGACCCGATCGTTTTTACGTGTGTGCATAGTGACAGTGAGTGTTATCTCCGACATCTCGACAACGTGGGAGGTCCTTATCATGGCGTTGGTCACCGTACAGCGGTCACCAAGCGTATCCAATTCCCCGCAGAGTTCGGTGAGTTTTCATTTTTTCTGTGTCTTTGTCTCTACTTGCTGTCAAATCCTTCCCCCGGGATTCATTCTTCTGATATTTACTGTCATCACCGCGCGAAGTAACGCACGCACATGCACGTATCGTCGAGCGCGTCGTCTAGTCGTCTAGCATTAACCGGATAGCCATACCTTATTTGGCGTATTGACAGTTAATTGTGAAAGGGAATTCAGAAAATTTGAAGTCCCTTGCGTGCGTGCCGAGGGTGGAGAGTGAGAACAATTTACGTACACACGGAAAATTGTCGCTCGTAGTAAACAAAGGCTTGTTTTGACATTTCTCTCCCGCGATCACTAGCGCAAGTTCACGGTTAACCCCTTAACGTGTAAACCCCAAATTAAATTCCGGCAAACAATACTAAGAGAATTATTATAAGTTGAAGATATCTGTTTAGATAATCTTGTCAGAAGTTACTTTGCAATTTGTTGTGGAGAAGAATTTTTGTGTTTACTATTTTCAGTTTATGTTGTCGTCTGTTGTTATAATGTGTTACACACGTTTTCGTGATCAAATCATTTAGTGATAGTGATATTTATATAAAAAAAATTATTACATCGCCGTATTTTTAATTTTTTCTTGTATGGAAGATGAGTATTGAAGCGTGTATTTTATGATACACAACTGTCGATTATTTATATAAAATTACTCGTCCCACACGCGTGACTTACTATCATGCCTGGTATCTTCGTATCTTCATGCGCTTTGCGATTACGTGGTTCTGTAGCCGCGATTGTACACCAGTGCTCAAAAGTTCGCAGTGTCAGTGAAAGTGTGAAATAAAATCTTGTTAGCGATCTTTATGGAACGAATATCCAGATTGGAAAGTCGTTAGTAGAATATTATTTGTAAATAATAATTTAGTCTCATACACTATGTAGGTTATGCAAAGGAGTAAACGCGAAGAATACGTCTGCAAGGTTTGAAGTAGATCTATTGTTCAACGTTCCTGAGAGATGACCGTCTCAAGTGCTTAAAGTCTGGACATTCTCGAACAATTATAACACTTCTCTAGTGTCTAACCCTTTGATACATTCGTATTTTTGTATCATTAAATATTTCCATTATTAATAAGAAATATAGAGAAATATATTTTTCGTGAAAAATTATAATTAGAAGATTTTTAATTAAATTTGTATTTAAGGGAGATGTATTGATAATACAATTGACAATGAAATTTTATTTAAATTTATTATACTGATAGATAAAGATTTTAAATAGATGTGCTT